GTGCGTCGGTCGCCCTGTGTGATGCTGACCAGATCCATTGGGGTCTCAACTCCCTTGATGATGGCAAGAGCGCAGATCGACGGTCGATACGAGTCGTAGAGATTGCAGCTCATCGCATTGCCCGAGCCGCAGGGAATATGCGAGACAGCAATCTTGTGTAGCGCTTGCGACGCATCGGGCCGCTGACCCAGACCATTGAATACCTCGTGGGCCAAGCCATCACCAGAGCAGGTGACAATCGTGTCGAACGCGTCCACGTCGACTTCCCGCGCTATTTCAAGAGCTTGGCCTGAGTAGGTGGTGTGCTCCACGTCCATGGGCATGCGCGCCGCCTTGAACAGAGGCTCGACGTCTACGCGCCACTTCTTTTCCGCGCCTCCCGGTCCGGCATGCGGGTTAACCAAGACCTTTGCTCTCTTGCATAGTTTCGCCGGGCCATATGCCTTTCTCATGAGGGTATCGATCCAGGACTTGACATCCGGGCTCTCCGTGTCGTTAACCGTAAAAGTCCATTTCGCTGCCTGTACTCGTTGCTTGCCGGCTTGTTTCGCGTAGTCGATTGTGAGGGTCTCTCCCGTCTGGTCGGCCCAGAGGACGTTGTACAAGGGGACGGTTTGCGTCGAGGGTGCTGCATTTTGCGGACTAGTGTTAGCAAGCTGGGAATGGGGGCCACGGAGGTCAATGACAACGGACCTGATGCGCCAAACCCAGCAAAACCGCAAGTCCGGTTGGCTTTATTCGCTGTTGGGTCTTTGAAAAGGGGTCAGCTACCCGAGCGCATCGCCACAAGGTAGGTATATTGCAGGTTCCCACACACCATTCAGAAGGAGATTCTCCGACGTTTGAGTCAAAGATTTGTTGCCGTCGACCTTGATCGTCTCTGGTGGGCCGTTTCTAGAGGCGGGCTTGCCGTAGGACTGGGAAGACTCGGAGATGGACTCGGTCCCGTTCGGGGCCGTATTGTGTTCCCCTGCGAGGGTGGCCATCGCGAAGTGTGCAAAGGTTGATTAAGCGACAGACGAGCAGAAGCTGGCGGAACAGGCCGTTCACGTCAGGCGAGAGACAGAGTTATAGGCGAGCGAAGGTGATGAAGATGCAAAAGGAGATCGGTCAGTACTAGCAGATGTCGCGACGAGACATGGTAGTCAGTCGTTGACTAGTTGTTGGTAACGGACGCTACAGCGGCTGCTGTTGATGGGGTGGTCACAAGCTCCCGGGGGTTGCGGGAGGGAAGAGAAGAGAAGAAGAGAATAAAGGTGAATTATTACTGCGCCGTTGTACCAAGCCGTAGGAGGAACTTGGGAAGAGAGGCGTTGGCGCAAGCGGAATAGGAATAGTTGAAAGGGAGTTGGGTTAGTCGGAGGCTAAGAGCACGTCCCGAGGCCCGTCGTCGACGAGGGAGAGGATTGAAGTCCAGGAAGGGAAATCGAACTTTGGTGCTAGTTGTGCTGGTGTATGCAGTGAGGTACCTTTACTGAGGAGCTGTAGGTCCAAGCAGAGAATTGGAGCGATACCCAGGGGGGAGCAACAAGCGACAAGCAACAGGAAAGAAAGTTACAAGAGTACAAAACATCCAAGCCGACGCTGTTCTGCTGCTGCAGGAAGGATGGCACGGTCACCCACCGGCAGCGGCAGCACGGATGAATCGGAGATTGAACTTCAGTTGCACTTGGTTCGGATAGGGCACTACTTGCTTTTCAATCATACCTACGTTGCATCTCATGTACCTCCCTAATGTGGTGGGCATTGATAGCAGAAATACGATAAGGTAAGCAAGCACGCGCAACACCAAGGAACCTGGCACCATGAGAATTGCATGGCACGGATGCGCGCTGTAGCTGGCCACGAGTTAAGGTACTTAGCACTTTAGGTACCGAAGCCGTTACCCAGGGGCCCGCGGCGCCCGTAGCGGCCGCCTGACCACGGCGGAGGTGCTCCCCCGGACGCACATCACACTCGTGATGCAACCGTAGGTACGGATAGATGCAACCATTCGAGGAGAGGGCGTCGATGGAAACCGAGATGTTCAGGTTTGGGAGGCATTGTGAGGTTGGCATGTGAGGTGCCTTTGGGGCCGCAACTCCCCGTAAAGTCGGGCTGGACAGGTGACTGGAGGTGATGTAGACATCCCAATCGAGGTAGGTACAGCAGGCCAGGGCCGGACCAAACACCTTATCTAGGAGTGGCTTGAGGGGAAATGGACGCCAACAATGCGACACGTCTGTCCATTCGTCTTGGTGGTGTGAGTAAGCCGACCACTCACTGTCAGTCTGTCAGGTACCGGACGACGACGACTGTAGGACACCGGCGAAACAGCTTGCGCGATGCCCGACTCTCCCGCCTTGGCTGCGCTGGCGTTCGTTTCGTTCTCTGGAAGCAACTGGTATAAAGCTGCTGATGTCATGGTTCCTCAATCCAGCGCGGAAACAGTGGTCGTGCGTTGCAAGAGAAAGTCGTATGCCTTGGTGAACCATTCATCAGACGATGGGCGAGCGGGCTGCGCGTTCCTCATGCTGCAAGTCCAAACGCCTCTTCGCATTGCTTTGGCCGAAAGTAATTCGATAAGAAGGAGAGAGAAGACGCAAGCTTGGGCAGACAACAGAAAGCAAACAGGGGTACAGCCGTACAATGCCTTTATTGCCTTTTAGTCAGGCAAGTCAGACATGAGTAAGTACGTACCGCAATCCGCGCGATGGTGAATTCCAACCCTCCACGCCGGGCACGTATCGAAAACCTACGCGTAAAGAGAATGGCATTCATCGTCTGACATCACCAGATTCTACCAAAATGCCTATTAAATTGCGGATAATACAACTTCCCCCTGCCTTACCTAAGCTTCCACTTTACCCATACTTTACTACGTACATACTTCCCCTCCAACGTAGCGGGAGCGGAGATTCCCTTATTGGCGACAGCACTGTAGCCCAGTTGAACGCACACCCAATGAGCTTCCCCCGTGTCGTCTAAATCAGGCAATAGTTGACCAATCAGCTGTGGGCCGTACCCTCTTTCGCTCAATTAGCAGAAAGATACGCAGTACGTACCTCGGTACCGCTCCAGATAGCGGATTGCTCACATTGATTGACTTTGGGTTCTCACATTGAACAACCTCTCATTGTTCAAGGGCCTCTTTGACTCACATCTCATTGCTCTCTCAGTGACTCAATTCATAAGTAAGGACACCCCTATGCAAGTCAATTGATCTCATCTGACCTTATCACAGCAATCTTCAACATCCCAACTTGTCAAAATCCAGTAACAAAACCAAAGTCCTCACAAAAAATCAACCCCGCCATGGCCTCACAACCTCCGGTCGCGGGGTCCGACGCCGCCCTCCCGCTCATCGACATCAAACCGCTGCTCAAGAAACTCTGGCCCGTCCCGGACGCCGGCCTCGCCGTGAGCGCCGACGAGATCGCCGAGGCCATCTCCCACTTCTTCACCCACCAGGTCTCCGACACCCAGGCCGCCTCCCTCCTCATCGCCCTGCACTTCACCAACCTCGACCGCCGCGCAGACGTAATGGCCCGCTCCGCACACTACATGCGCCGCGCCGCCGCAAAGGTCGACTTTGACGATCTCTCTCGCGTGGTCAAGCAAAAGGCTCTCGGCGCGGGCACCTACGCCGGCGGACTGTGCGACATCGTTGGCACGGGAGGCGACGCCCACAACACATTCAACATCAGCACCACCGCCTCCATCCTCGCCTCCTCCCTCCTCTTGGTGGCCAAGCACGGCAACCGCGCCAGCACCTCCAAGTCCGGCTCCGCGGACCTCGTCAACAACATGCAGCCCCGCCCGCCCGTCCTCATGGCCGTCTCCCCAGAGACAATCTCACAAGTCTACGCCGCCACAAACTACGGCTTCCTCTTCGCCCCCGTCTTCCACCCGGGCATGCGCTACGTCGCGCCCATCCGCAAAGAACTCCCCTGGAGGACAATCTTCAACCTCCTCGGTCCCTTGGCGAACCCCGTCGAGGATATCCTCGAGGCCCGTGTCATCGGTGTAGCGAGGAAGGAGCTCGGCCCCGTCTTCCTCGAGGCCCTCAAGATTAGCGGTTCGAAAAAGGCCATGATCATTTGCGGCGAGGAGGAGCTGGACGAAGTCAGCTGCGCGGGTCCGACGCTGGTCTGGAGTCTCAGTGAGGCGGCGGACGGTGAAGTGGTAGCGGATCACTTCAGGGTGCAGCCCAGCGATTTCGGCTTGGGAACGCACCCCCTCAACACCGTATCCCCCGGTAAAGAGCCGGCTGAGAATGCCGAGATTCTGAGGAGGATACTGGCGGGTGAGATGGCTGACGACGACCCCATTCTCGAATTTGTGCTGATGAACGCCGCGACGCTGTTTGTCACGTCGGGTATCTGCGAGGCCGAGACGAGCAACATGGGCCCCGGCGACGACGGCCAGGTGATTACCGAAAGGGGCCCTGGCGGAGGTCGCTGGAAGGAGGGTGTGCGGAGGGCGCGCTGGGCTGTCAAGAGCGGTGAGGCCTGGGAGCAATGGAAGGCGTTCGTCGACGTCACGAACAGCTTCAGTCAATAGAGGTTGTGTAGATAGAGGGTGCCAGACCATAAGGACAAAAAATGTGATGACAGGGGTCAGCCAAGACAGAAAAGAAAGCAAGGAAATGGAACATCACGGCCTCAACACGAAATGCATCACGCCATGAAAAGTTGCTGCTGCTCAGACGAAATCTAGAGTCTCGTACGCTTTTTTTGTAGCCTTCTCTCTTCTATCACAACTTTTGATGATGCAACTATGTCCTTGATTTCGACAAATGCCGCAACGAAGCACGCGTCCATAGCCCGGCCCTTTACCCAGCCTTGGCTTCCAAATGACCGAGGGAACAAATCCGCCCATTACCGTTTGGAAACGCTTTCCCACTGTTCGGGTATCTGGCTGCACAAATCGCAATATTGAAACCGGCAACCCTGCCTTTATTTCCGCCTGAGCTGGTTCCATATCCTCCGAATTGGCGACAAAGGCGGGGGCTCGCGCTCCTAGGCAAAGAGGCTTACTTCAGGCCACCTCGCGTGCGCTTCCTTCTTGAGTGTCTCCGCCTCAGTGCTCCTCCACGCCTTCAAGAGGTTGTACACCTCAGTGGCAAGCTCAAAGGTGGCATCGGGAGCCTTGACGACGTTCGCAAGGTCGGCCTCGGCCTTGGCGCTGTCCTCTCCAAGCACTCTCCGTGTCTTCAGGGCCGCGACGATGTGAGTGGGCTTGACCTTGTTGTCCGAGAGGAACTCTTCGTTGTACTTCTTCAAGTCACCGGCAGGGGGAGTGAACTCGGACTTGATTAGTTCTTGCACCTTTGCGGGCAAGCTCTCGAGTGCCGGGCGTACAACGTGAGCAAACTCGACAACGCGCTCGTGGACACCGGGGTGCGAAGCATCAAGTTCGCGGGCGGCGTTGAGAGAACGCAGCGCAAGAACGTACTTCTCTGTAAACTTGTTAGTACTATTCAAAAGGGTAGTGTCGCCATGGTCAAACTTACTTCGGCGCAGATAAACATCGAAACCGGCGAATTGGGCGTTGATGTTTTGCGGGCTGAATTGCAGAAGAGGGGTGACGAATCGCATCGCCGCGCTGAGGGGCTCGGCCTCCAACAGCTTCAGACCGAGAGGATCCTCGTCCTTCTTCTTGGGCTCTTCGCTGGCAGGCTTGCCCTTGTTGGGATCTTGCTTCGCCGCACGATCGGCCGCCTCCCTCTCCAGGCGCTGTTGCTCCTTCTTGGCCTTCTTCGCAGCCTTCTTTCTCTCAGAGGCATCGTCGCCGTTTGCGTCACCGTTGACGCCGTTCGCTGCGGGGCGGTCAGCCCTCCTGAGGTAAATGGCGACGGCGTCCAAAGCGGCTCGTGAGTAGAAGGGGTGGTCTCTAAGGTGGTCCTCCCAACGGACCATATCTACGTAGGCACGAATCTGGCCCTTTCTCAGGGAAAAGCTGTGGAAATCGAACTGGTCTTCTTGCCAGACGTCGAAGATGTTGTGAACCGTGTGGAAGCGCTTGAGGGCCAAGGCATCATCACCCTGGCGAGCATACGCCTCACCATCCTCGGTAAGGAACCAGACGCATTGCATATCCAGGAGATCCGCGAGAGGGCCACCGACGGTGTCCGCCCTAGTAAAGAGGCCCACAGTCTTCAACGCCTGCTCAGTCTCGTTATTGCGCAGCTGATACTTGGCTGCCTTGGTGTTGATGTAACGATCGCGGGTATCCAAAGTGCGTGCCTTGTCCATAGTCTCAGATGCCTTTTGGAGGTTGCCCTGGTGCTTCCATATCCTAGCCTTGGTCATGGTGAAGTCGACGCTGTCGGGGACCTTCTCGATAGCCTTGTCGACGTACTCGTGAGCCTTCGTGAGATCGCGGCTGAGGTGGTAATTATAGTGTTGGGCAAGGAAGTACAGAGCTGCGGCTTCTCCCTTTGAGCGATCGCCGTTGGCTGCTTCCGTGTTTGAGCTCGACTTGAGGTAGTCCTGGGCGAGGGCTTCGAGGGCCTCCTTCTTGGCAGAGTCGGAGTACAAGTGCTTCAGGTTAGCGAAAGTCGACGGAACACCCTTGTTGAACATGAGCGTCAAGTACTCCTTTGCCACAGCACTGAAGTCGTCACCTGCCTGAGTTAGCACCTGTGAGTACAAAGACATGAACGAACACTTACCAGACAAGAAGTTCAGGGGTAGGCGGCGAGGAGCATCTGAGCGGGGGAACTTCTTGGCGTACTTCTCGTAAATCTCCTTCCTAGCAGCCGCATCACCGTCAGAAAAGGCGTGGGCGCTTTCCAGACCCTCAAAGTAAGCAGGACGGTCAGCGTTGCGCTCAACAAGAGCCTGCCATGCGGCAATAGCCTCCTCCTTCTTGCCCAGCTTGACCAGGTACTTGGCGCGCAGCTCCAAATACTCGAGCCTATCAAGGTTATGCTTAGCGGCACTCTCAAGATGCTCGAGGGCTCTCTGGTAGTCGCCCTGCTCGGCAATGATGGTGTTCTTGTACATGACGGCTTCGGAGTTCTCGTAGTCGCTACGGGAGGGCGTGGACTTGAGCGTTCCCTCGTAGGTGGTAAGGACGTTCTCGGCGGCGGACAGGTCACCTGACAAGTGGTGAGCGATAGCCAGCGCAGTCCAGCTCTGGCGCAGCTGGGGACGGGCCTGCAGCATGGCAGTGCGGCTTGAGATGTATCCGGCATAATCGCGCATCTGCACCTGAAGAATGGCAAGATCGCGCTGGATCTGCGTTGACTCGGGCTCGAGCTTCAGAGCGAACTTGTACGCCTTGATAGCCTCCTCGAAGTTCTTGTTGGCGCGGTACAGCAGACCGTAGACGTGCCAGCAGATGTGCGACTTCATGTCCACCGTCAAAGCCTCCTTGCCCAGAGCAAAAGCCTCCTCTGTCTTACCCTGCGCATTCATGATCAGGGCCTTCATGGCCATTGTGTCGCCATGTTTGGGGTTCTTCTTGAGGATGAGGTCGGCGGACTTGAGACCGCGCTTGTACTGCTTGTCCTCATAGGCGCGGATGACGGCGCGAAAGAGGGAAGCCTCTTTCGAATTAAGAGGTTGCGGCATCGGATCGGTAGTGGGCCGGTAATCGTATCGCCGGCACTGCGAAGAGAAGAAGACCGAGTCGTCGAGGGAGAAGCGAGTTTCGCAAGGCTGGAACAATCCCAAAAGTCGCTAGAGATGCAAACTCTTCGGAAGGCTGGTCCGCAGCAGTGTCTGGAGGGGTCCTCGGAGGTCAAGGAGGGGTAGCTAGCTGCAGTCGTATGACGGAACCGAGCTACTCGCTAGAAATAAAAGTAGAAGGCGGATAAGATACAAAGAGTAGAGGTCGGTTGTGTCGGGGACCGAGGGCTCGTATCTTTTCGAGAGCGTGGGGTGGAAAGTCGAAGATTGGTCGTGTGCGAGTCCACGGACGGAGCTGCAAGTATTCACAAAGGTTTCGACGTAAACGGGTGGGATTCTGGATGGAAGACTCTGGCCACACACATGTTCCAAGGCTGAGCTGGCTGCCCTCCTTGGGGCTCAGTGCGCCGTCTTCGCCCTGCAGCGACCGCCACCACGGTGTCCGTACCATAACTGGACCTCACCGTTTGGCGGGACGGCGGGCTTTTGGCGGGGCAAAATGAGTCCGGTCCCATTAGGTCCGTTTTCACCGCATCAAAATCGCACCACCAGTGGCCGCATGCTCTGCGCACGTCCCGCTCAGTGACGGCCAATCCGCCGTTTTGGTGGGGGACGGTCAACCAAGGCCCTGGAAAAGGGATTGTGTACATCTCCGTGTTCCCTTACAATACTGATGCATGCCATGATTCGTGACGCCTTGAATAGTTGGAGAAGACTAGGAAACTGACAACCTCCATGAAAGACCGCGGGATTTATGGTAAACTTCCTGTTGGACAAATCTCACCAACACAACTGATCTGTGAATACCCACCGTTGCCAAGTGAATGATCATGGAAAGCTAGAACATGACGCTTCCCTATGCTTCAAACTCTGGGACATGATGAGATGCCTCGAAGCAACCAGAGTTCCTATGATCTTTAGGGTCATGGAGCGCAAGAGTTCTCGTTCTCTGCGGTCTTTGCTGCTCTAACATATTTCTTTCTCGGCCGAGCTTCAAATGGCTTGATATTACTTTGGTGTTTATTTTGTTTATATCTATCGTTATTCATATGGCGTTGTGTTACAAGTTTAGTACAGGTACGTGGTGTACATATCGACAATAATGGTACAGCCGCCGAGAAGGATGCAGTCTAGGACCTACAAGCCATCGACTTTCCCAGCAGCTCTTGAGCGCCAACCCGCAAGAGCCTCCTCCCACGAATTAGCCGACTCCCCGCATCGCTGTTTGACCATATCCCACGTTCTTGTCCGCACAATGTTCTCCACGCCCTTCTCCTGCCGAATAAGCATCGCGAGTTGCTCCGTCCGAGGCTCACGAGGGAAGAACCGTCCAGAGTATGGATCCAAGCGTTCGTTGACAACTCGTTCCTTGTCCTTTGCAGCCTCAATCTGCCGTAACAGAACCTCCGGATCGTCTGGGTCTGGACTTGTCGCAACCACTCCGCAATAGTGCAGGACTTCAGCTCGCGCATGCCATGTCGGGAAGAGCACCTGGTCCTTGAAGTTCTGACATGCTTGCGGGTCTATCTGTCGAGGGAAGGAACGCGGGGTTCGTTGTGAGGTCGAGGTAGGGTCGAAGCCGGCTCGCGCGGGTGTCACAAGCGCATTGAGGTTTTGAGTGATGGAGTCGTCGACCGTGGCACGAGACAGCCTTAGAAAGTCTTCAGAAGCACATTAGTGTCGATCATCTAGCAGTTCACGAACATGGTCCAGCTTACCCCTCAGAGCTCCTGTCGAGAAGCAGAACTGTGGTGTAAGATGGGGTTGGGCCGGCGGTTGGGTCATGATGTCGCCAGTCGGGGGATTGGAGGGGACTGCGCCGGTCGTCGCGGATGACGACTCTTTCTTCCAGAGTATGTTCGCCAGCGTGGATATTGTTGTGAAATACACTTGGTTCGGAGGATAGCGATTTCAGGTGTCCCTGATCAGCACGTATAGGGATCAAAAATCTCCAAAGACTTGGTTATTATGTGGTGACCACCGCAAACTCGATTACGTCGACGGAAAGCCGTAGGTACCTAAGCTTGAGTGGAAGCTTGGGGACATCTAGGGGTACGTATTCCTGAGGACGGGAACTTTGGAAGAGCTCCGACTGGGTGCCGGTGATAGACCAATCGTTTCTACGTTTGATGACCCACCTCGAATCATCGAATCATTCAGGCCGGTCTTGGGGGAGCCATAGCGGAAGATCCTCGGCGCGGAACGGATGGCCTGAGCTTCACGGAAACGTATCCACAACACGATATGGTCCAAGCTTCCAGGTATGTGGGAATCCAGGGATCAACTTTCTTCGTCGTTGGTTTGTCTCTGTGTCTCTCTGTCTCTCCCAGACTCCCACTTCTCGACCTCCCGCCCACGTGTGCCCGCTCAGACCCAGCACCAAGAGTCAAGACATTCTGCTTCAAAGCCACGCAGACATTGCTCTTTAGCGCCCTGTCAGATTTCGATAGTTCGAGAAGCCACGCAATAAATAGCAATCTTCAACCCCGCGAAATCAGTCTTGGATTCGCCACGGTGCTTTCTGACAAGTGTCAACCGCGTCTTCTGGCTTCAAGGTGAATCAACCCACGGATGCCATCCAGACCCCTGGGAAACACACGGACGACGATGCAGTTATCCCTACCCACGTCTAGCGCATGTCAAGGTTTGTCCTTTGCAACCCTACCAATATGGAGCCGTGGGAATCAAGTGCTGTTTCCACCTCCACGATGAGCCGGCCATCATCTCCCGGCTGATCTCAATATAACCGCCTCAAGCAATGAGCCTGGCGTGTTTCGACTTTCGTGTTTTCGTGGTTCCAACCAACCTACATTCTATCCGTCCTCAATGATGCGATTCTTGAACAATCTTCCCGAGGGGTCGTTGTCCTAGCGTGGCCACCATGCCCTGACAAGCTCCCGGATTTCTGGGCTCGCCTGTTCTTCATCTCGCCAAATTGCACTCAATAGTCTCCCCTGGCTAGCATCGCCCCAAATACCGTATCGGGTGCGAACCGTTTGGTACTGGTTTGCTGAAGGAATGGGCCGTTGCCAGATTCGGTTCCCTGGCCCCGCGACATGTTTCCCCATCATCCCTCTTCTGATCCAACCTAAAAGAGGGCATTTCCTCCCGACTTCGAAGACCGACGGGTCTGTTCTCCGATCTTGATGGAAATCCGCATAGAAATGTCCACCTGCTAAGGTGACCGGTCATGGACTCCCCGGGACGCCAGTCCGGCACCAGCCTGGCCGACCTGATACGCACATCACAGCTTCTTACCGATCGGTACAGTACTGTTGCCAATAGCCTCAATACGGCACCGGTGACGCTGTCTGATCTCGCCAAAGAATGTCGCGCCGTGACAGATGCTCTCCGACGATTCAAGTACCTGCGCGAAACGATACCGGAAACCCTCGTTTTCGATCCAGTCCTTCTCGACCAATCCTGCCAGGATGCCTTGGACTCGATCAACACAGACTTGTCGTCTCTCGACTTCTACAGTACGCGAATTCGCCCGGCGACGAGCGATAGTGCTGTCGACATGTCCTCGGGACAAATTACCATCATTTGGAACGAAGACTCTCTCAGGCAAATCCAACGCCAGCTCAAGACCAACCGTCAATCTCTTACATTTCTTCTTAATTGTGTTCCAAGGTATGTCAAACTCGGACCAGTTGCGCGGACGTTGCTCACCAAAACAGCGAACATGTGACATCCAAAAACCACTCCACATTCATGCACTCATCCCGCCTAGTGTCATGGGATTGTGCGATCAGCCCGGCAGTACTCAACAAAGGTAGTCGACTGCGTCTATCTACCATCGGTCCGCGACCAAGGCCAGAGGCAGAAACCACCCCCGTCAATGATTCCTTCGAAGTTCGTTCGGCTTTGAAGAGACTCAGACCACCGCCGGGCATACTATACAAGCAGAGCATGAGGACAACAAAAGACTTACACGATGCAATCGATCGTGGAGACGAAGCCGCCGTGGTAAAGCTCCTGTTACAGCGCATCGATCCGAATGCGCCTCGCTTTGGCTCGAAACTTTGCCCTCTTCGTCGAGCTTTGAATCGCCAAATTCCATCTCTAGTAACTTTCATAGCTATCGCCGGAGCAGATCTCGAGAGTAGAGGAGACGAGGGCGACACAATCTTGATCACGGCAATCAAGTATGGATACTCCGAGAAGGTCGTCTCGCTATTGTGCGAACTCGGTGCAGATGTGAATGCCGTCGATACTCTGGGGTGCTCGCCAGTCCACTACGCCGCCATGTCAGCCAAAGACGATGACACCTTGGAGGTGCTCATCCGCGCTGGGGGCGAGGTTGACCGCAGGGATTTGGGAACACGAACGCCTCTTATAGCGGCTGTTCAAAATTACCGCTTCAACGCTATCGAAAAGCTTCTCGAATATGGTGCGGACCTGGAAGCCCGACTACAAAATGGCAGAACAGCGCTCCATGTCGCCATATCTATGAGAAGCAGCCCGATGACGGAGTTCCTATCAGATCAGGGCGCCTACCTCGACCGACGTGTCAATGAGCACACCGCCTTGACGTACGCAATATCTACAGCTTGTCCGGATATCGCTGAGGTGCTGATAGGGGCCGGGGCCGACGTTAACTTGCCGAGCTCGAAGGGCAACTTTCCGTTGCTCGCGGCTGCCTCAGCCGGGGACTTACGCACCATGAAGCTTCTCCTCTCTCGTGGTGCCAATTTTGATGCTACCGGTAGCGAGGGGTACCTACCCATGCACATGGCAGCCCACAAGAATCGAGTCGAGGTGCTGCAACTTCTCTTTAAAGCTGGATCACAGATTGACCCAACGACAGAACATGGAGAGACGCCTCTCACCATCGCGATGCACTTGGGATGCTTCGAGGCTGCTCAATTTCTGATCGAGGTCGGTGCTGAGGTAGACCACTCCGCTCCTGGAGCAGAGAGAATCATATGCCAAGCTCTCAAAGCCGGCAACACGCGAATTGCAATCGCCCTCATCCGAGGTGGTGCAGATCTCACAACCCCGTTGTTGCGAAACTCCAGCATGACGCCGCTACATCTTGCAGCCCACTACGGACAGAACGACGTGCTTGCGACGATGATCAGTACGGGCGTCGACCTCGATACTAGGACCTGGCCAGGGTTCACCCCACTCTTCGCTGCCGCAAGGGCAGGGCACCTCGACACTGTGCGACTTCTCCTCGCCGCCGGGGCGTACCTCAGAGCTCGATCAATGTCAGGGGCGAACCTGATGTTCTTCGCCACAGCGCATCCCGCAATGATCAAGCTTCTGATAGAACTTGGATTAGATGTTCGTGAGCGCGATCATCACGGCGCAACACCGCTACATTATGCGGCTGTCAAGGGTCAGTATACGACAGTGAAGCTGTTGTTACAAAATGGCGCGAGGTTGGTTCATGCCAGCGCCGTCTTCGAGTCTCTTCAAGACTATAAAACGAAAGCGAAGTATCGCCAAGGCACTGCTGCAGGCCTTGCTAGACAGAAAGGCCACATGAAACTTGCGCGACTTATTGAGGGGTGGAAGTTCAAAACTTGATGCGCAGATACTCCCTTTGCTTCCACCTTTGCTGCCCACTAGCAGTGCATTTCCTATGTTGACCGAAGATCTATATTGATATCAGAAGATACCCCACGATTGCACGTAGGCGTTTTGTCAACGCGATGTGATCATCACCACTGGCCCATACGCCGTTTTCCTATTCCAATACAATATTTACCATCTCTTCCTGCCATCTGAATTATGCGACTTGGTCTAAGACTAGGAAACGATATTAGAATCACAGCGTGCGAATTTCAAATATTCATCACCTCTTTCACTAGAAATGCGGAAAGAAATCAGACCACTCCGGGGTCTCATACAACGACGCAGGAGCCTCGCGCAGATTGATGAACGCCTCAATGACCAAGAAAACCCTCGCCACAACAAACAGCAACAGGACAAAACAAAGAACAAACGACTTTGCTGTCTTCATCCACGGTTTTTGGTACGTCGTTCCTGCCAGTTGCGCCCCCGGCGCCGTACCAGAAATGAACATATCAAACCGCGGCCAAACCTGTCGAGCGAGGAAGAAGATCCACAGCACCACGCCCGAGGATGTAATCACCAAAGACGCAGCCAGCCAGAGATTCCGCTCAATCGTCGTCGGAAAGTGGTCGAGCCAGCCCGCAAGGTGAAGCCCGCCGTACGCTGCTGCCGTCAGAGCGAGGACCGACCGCAGGACGTCGCGGTGGATGTTGACTTGGCCTAGCCCGAGGTTCGACATGGACGGGAAGTTGACTATGTAAGGGACAAGGTAATCCGTCTCGCCGAGAAACACGCCAACGGTCGGCACGGAGGTGAAGTAGAATTGAGCATACGTCGGCCGGGAAATGCATTCTGCCCAGAGAGAATCTGCGGCTGACGCAGCTTGTGCCAATCGTCCTGGGTTGACGGGCATGTGAGGTTTCTCGTGTCTCTGGACATCTGCAAAGAGTCTTCGACAATAGATCGTACCGTGCCGGAGATTGAGCTGAGTATAAGGTGAAGCGAAGTATATCTGCTGGCATTCCGGGGACACCGTCGGTTTCGCCTGGTCGATGTGGTACATGTATGCGGTTCGGGATACTCTTTTCCGCTGAATGTCGACGTCCACAGGCGACGAGAAGGGACGAAGGTTACTTACGTCGAAGCCGAGAAACCTAGAGGGCTCCCTGGTGCCAGGTGAGCCGATGGACAAATGGGTCGTGATGAGAATCTTGTCCTTGTTCTCCTTTCTGACCCCTTCCGTGCCCACGTCTTCGGGCGGTATGTACATGAAGCACCGGATCTCAGTTACGCCGTTGACGGCGCTCATCGACGAGCAGAACATCATCAACGCCATGGCATTCTCGTTCCCCTCGTCCAGGACAGTGGGATCGAGCACATCCAGGGGCTTGCTCCACCATAGCAAATAAAGCATAGCAGCACAAGCAACGTGTCCGCAGGTGTTGATCTCGAGCAGCGAGACGGGCAGTTTCTTAATGAGGCGGCCGATGACTTGGGCGACCATCCAGCCGGCCTGTATGCACACCAGCGACTTGGCCATCCAGTCCGCCTTGCTCTTATCCTGGATCTGCGACTCGTGAATCTGCGGCAGCTTTCCGACGAAGGATAAGAGCCTGATACCCTCCGGCGTGACCGTTACTCTCCTGAGCGCCGTCTCGACCTCGGCAGAAGGCATATTGACGACGAACCCTCCCATCACGGCGTAAAAACACTGCGTCATGTCCCACGTATGCCTCGAAAACGTCCTCGTCTCCTCCCTATCGGCAGGTGTTCCATCTGCACCTGTACTCCCTTTCCGATCCGCAGCATCCTTTTCAATCTCTTTCTTGAGCCATCTTGCCACAATATACTGAGCCGCCGCCGTGGCGACCACGAGCTCCGGCGCGAAGATACCGTAGAGGACCCACTTTGTCCGCTCCAGCGACCGGCTCCGAAGGGTGGAGCGCGCGGCGGGGACGTTGAGGTGGAGGGCCGTCCAGACGCATATCGTGAGGGTGAGCACGCAGGAGCAGATCAGGCCAAAGGTGCCGCGACCGTTTGGTTCGGGAGCCCAGTTAGTCGTGGACGAGTGAGGGGTCGCTGCTGCGAAGGGAGGTGAGAGGAGGGGATAGGCTGCGACGGCGGAGATCATGAGCGTGGGTGGATGTGGTTTTATCAGATTGCATGTTTGCAAGCTTTAGTTGGAGTTTTCAGGCTGGGTCTTGGACCTGTCTAGGAGAGTCGTCCTTAAGATTATGGGAACTCGCGGGACCTATATCATGATTGACATACCATCAAGGAGGGTCGTACGAAAGCGAAGCCGCGGGAGCTGACCCCACGCCGCAGGCGCTGACGGCACGCGCCGGATGCGCCTTACCGCCGGTGCATAGAGCTAGAAGCTGAAGCAGGGCATCGCCACCACCAACCAGGGTTCAGAGGCTGCAGAGCCAATGAACACGGATCACACTGCATCGCGATAAGAGGACGACCAAAGTCATTGGATATGGAAATGGAAATATGCGTTTTGTGGCGTTCTACCCACGCATTATTGGCAACCTTGACCAAATGCTTCATCAAAAATTCTATCACTCCAAAGGTTGCCTCCTTGTTAGAGCTAGAGGACAACAGCAGGCGAGAGGTTGTGATGAATGACGCTACTTATGCTATTGCGCCACGTAAGTCGAAGTATCTCATTACTGGTTGTGACTTTCCCGTAGTGACGCAGGCACCACAGCTGCTATGGGCTATGCCGGACGAATGTGATGATGTCAAGTAGTAACTTAAAGTGAGATGAAATTGATTCATCCTCAATGAATTCCCAAGCAAATGTGTGTACATCCGTATCACTTGAATGGTCTCTCGTACCAGTACATGATTTCCCTAGAGATTATACTTGCATCAAGCAGTACTGTCATCCTCCTGGTGAACACCTCACTTTGTACAGCAAGTGAACTATCCCACGACTTAGCATTCTATCCGATACCAAGTCTAAGAGTCAACTCACCTCAACTGTCGTCGTGCAGATGCCCTTTTCGTGCCGGATGTTCCTCGCAATGTACTCTCCGAACCTCTGGCCTGGGTTGCACCCCACAGAGGGCTCGAAGCACATGCCCATGCCGGCCAGAGTACTTGATGTCGCACGACACGATGCCGGCATCGGAGCGGCGCGAGCCGTCAAAATGGCGGTGCCAAGAACAGCTAAAGAAGAAATCAAGGATGGAAACATGGTGAAAGCTTAATGAATGATGTGTAGTTTGAGTTGAAGAGGAAAAAGGTTGGCTAACTTTTGCGAAGGTTTGCTATTCTATATCAACCTATATAAGATTGCATGATACAGTATCCTAGTGCAAAACTTATTGTACGTAAAAGAATAACTTCTTTCATTCAATCAAAACCACTCATATACGAAATTTGTTCGTAAGTGGAAATATACGGGGAGCGGACTTCAAGACGTTGTCGCGGGCCCGTGTCATACGCGGATTCCCTGAGAGAAAGCCGAGACCGAACTAATAACCAGTCTGATTTATGAATATGAGGATTGCTGGGTTCCGCAATTTCTATGGGGGTCTCGGATCTGTGCGCTGAGGCTATCTGCCCCCTCTAATCAAAAGTCGCGAAAGCGCTCGATTAAAGGTGGGAAGGATAAACATAAACTGGCTTCATCCGGTTTTTTGTGTACTTGGCGGTCTACAGGGCTGAAAGTCAAATTGATACATCCGTTTCCGACTATATTAGCTTAGTAGTACTGGATAATTATATTGTGCAGTCAATTAACTGGACAAAATCTCGTCAGCGTTCTCTGATGTGGTTCTCTGACTCATGTCGTCGAGTTTGGCATATGAGCTTTGATGCTCCAAGACGGTAACATCCTGTGCTTGGCTCTATCAGAGCTCTTGGGCACATAAAGAGTTGACAATAACAAATCGTTGCACGCTGCAAGTCGTATTGATGTAAACGAGCTACATATGCGGATTGATCTAGGAAAGAGAAATCCTCGACTTAAGGACTTTGAACAATAGTAGCTTACACGGAAGCGTCTTGATCGGCAGAAATATCGCCGAGAATGGCATCACAGCTTTTCTTTATCGGCTGTTCGGTTCATTAATCTGCCAACATCGCATGGGGAGATGTCACGTCTTTCGCATTGGTTGTAACCACTCATATCTGATCCCAACACCTGGAGCCTGGCCCCGAGTAGATTCTCTCTCTGAAAGCCCTGAGTTTGATTGGAGCCTGCAACTCTCTATCTCTAATTCCTTCAACTCAATGTTGCGCTAAACCTCTACTGCACTTTGTAAGTTTCTTCTGCCTTGCACAGACTGATATGTCTCAAAGACGAATATGTCACTTGGATCAGAATACACCTGGTTAATCAGGGAAGCCCTTGATGACTACTTTGTCACACACGCTACGGATTATGCAGTTCACATTTCCTATTCTCTTCTTTTTCAACACGCGCACATGGAATTACTTGTCGGACCAAACGATTTCTCGAAGCTACAAAGTCAACTTATGAGGTTGTCACAAGTACATGAGTAACATAACGCATGGTGCGTAATGGCACACATCTCGCTCTAGCAAACATCAAGAGTTCTGGCGTCCGATACAACGTATTCTCAACCTCTTCCCACATTCTATTTGTTAAGTAGACGATGATAAACCTCTCTTTTGGTTGTAACACCAAAACGGATCACGAGTAGTTATCCACTTCGGAGACCTGCAGCTTCTTAGACCCAGAACGGCCGTATACCCACCATCGCCATTCGGCTGTGTGTTCTAGTGGATTATGATTTCTCGTTCACAAGTATGTGCACTTGATCCCGAGAAGGTCGCAGGTTCGAGCCCTGCCACGGTCATAGCATCATTTTTGGAAATGCGCTCTAACGTCTCCTGTCTTGTCCGTGACCTGTAGCTTATAGGTTGCTACGTCGTATAATTTCTCAAAGAATTTGCTCAAAACTATGTCTTGTTAACAGAAATCAATAATCCGGCTTTTCTGTCAGGCTGTCGGTCTATGTTTTGGTTGACTGGACTCATGTTAAGCCCCTATATCAAAGCTGCAAGGCAGAGTGCTGATTGGCAGTTTAGCTGCTCATTGAATATTATTTGATTATCTGCTTTGTCCTCAGGTCTGTTTTAAGATTCCAGGACCGATTGCGCCTTCATTCCTTTGCTAGTCGCCCATATCAACATTGACATAAGTGGAGGAACCGGCCCATCAATATACTAAGACACCCTTCAGTCCTGGAAGTCCCTTTGAGCGACCCCATCACAAGATTTCTTGAGCTAGTAAGCGGACGATGGTGCTTCTCGAGATATGGTCCTTTCTGTGCCTGTCCCATGCATAGGACTGCGTTTCCCGGTTAGCTCAGTTGCAGTCCCGCCGCCGTACCCAGCCTCTTCAAAAATGGTCCTCCTCTTTTTGCGTCCCAAGTATACTAAGGCAAGTATCAGGAGGACGGCCGCAACCACTGCGACGGCGATGCCTGTTATAGCTCCAGTCGACATCCCGCTCTTCGTTGATACTGTATCACCAAGTTGATCTTGCTGGCTCACAGAAGCGTTTCTTGCCGATACATGCTGCTCGACGGCAACTTCAACGGTTCTTGGTACGCTGGAGGTAGACAAGGGCCCAGTGGTTGGACCTTTCCTTTTGGCTACATGTGCACAGGCTGACGATACAGCATCTCGAGCTCCTGTTGAGATTAAGTTGTCAGATGGTGTAGAAAAATGCCAATTGGTTGTCAGACTTACTCGGCATGTTTGCTGGCGTGCGTGCAGACAGACATGATATCAGGACCAATGCCATGGCCTCCTGTCCGTTTGTGTCACATGGACAGTGCAGATTGTCGAGTCCGCAGCCGATTCCTCGGATGCCGTCCCTGATACAAGGAACATCATAGGTTGGCTGGTATCCAAAGTCCCCCGCATTTGTCGCGTGTAATGAGTAGACAAGGTCGTGAATAGGCAGTATCATGCTGGGACGGAATTTGATCTCATGTACGAGAGTGGCGAGCAGAAGAGAAGATGCATCACGGAAAAGGTGCATGCCCAAAGGATAATCAGAAGCATCCAGTAGCATCATATTATTCTGGTTGCTGACCTACCGTGCCTAAGGTACGAAGCCAAGCTGAGCCATCTGGGGAATTGGAGCGCCACGGTTATTGGAGACGGTGCGCGCCACGGTGACGATCTTCAAATCTAAACAAGCCACAGGTTTCCGGTTTCCCCTCCTTTGTCCACGTCGAGGACCAATCACCCCCCTTCTACTAGCATTGAAGAAGAAAGCATGTTCCGGCAATTGGAATCACGGGTATGCGGGTTCGACTAGTCTCTCTACCAGACTAAGCAAGCTTGGAGGTAGCTCCCTCTTTTTTTAGTAGACCGCCCTTCCTTGATGCACCATTGTCCCATGCAGCTCTAGAATACAGTGCCATCGCTCTTGATGAGAATTGGGCTTGACTTGGTCTGCGGCCGGAACTTTGCTGCCGTCTCCCGCCCAGATTTCCACGTCCCTGCCTCGAGCAGCTGTGCCATGCTCAGCTCGACACCCTCTCCCATGCGAGATTGAATCTTGCCATAGAGGCTATCGATCAGCACCAACGTCATTGCCCTCCATTCCACGATGACATCGTCACCAGCCTCGAACATTGGCAGCTCGCTACCCGATGCTTTCAAGCCTCGGTCCAGTGTCTCCTTCTTCAGGGCCAAAACACCCATATCGACGAACAGGCCGCCGTTGCGGTACTCCGGCAAGGCCGTGAGAGAGCCAGCATTGACCCACTCCAGACCGAGTACCCGTTGGAATGGAACCATGAGGGAGTAGGTGAGCCACTGTGTCAGTTTGTGGAAAGGTTGAATGCCTGCCGCAGGGGAGTCGGAACTGCCGGCCTTTGCTCCCTTGCGTAAAGTACTCAACGGCCAGGCATCGCCGATGGGTGTTCCGCCAATAGTTGTGCGATCCTTGGGCCAAGCAGGAATCAAAAGAGTCTGGAGAATGTCCCAGAGATAGAGCACATCAATCTTGGAGGACCCTTTGGCAGACTTCACCAGATAGTCTACTCGTCGTTAGCACGCAGAAAGTATTTCGAGGGCAGCAGCATCTAACGCACCGACAAGGTTGCCTGGGCGGCCTTCAGCTCCAAATACTTCAGGATGGGCCAAAAGTGACTCTCCCAGGCTGCGAAGGAGACCGGCGCGAGAGTCAACTCCCAGCATGGGGTTGCTGTCTGAAACCTGGAAACCCTCTGCTAGTGCACTTGTCTCCAAGCGCTCCAGGCCCTTTCCTGTGAGTAATAGTGTTTAGCACATGTCTTCAATATTGAATTAAGAGTTACAATGATTACCATCGACTATAGGATTAGCCTTGTCTGTTGATGTTGTGTAGGCCAAGGCGTTGAACATGTGGAGACTAGCCACGGCGATGCCCTCGCTGCGCTCATAAATCTGGTCGGTCTTGGGCTCCTTGTATCGCCAATGATCACCTGCCCCGGCATCCAAAAGCACGGACACAAAAAATAGGTCGATGAGACGACGGGTGACCTCGGTCTCGTCGCTTCCACTTGCTTTCCACTCTTCTATAATGTTGGTAACGCGGGGCACATTGCCGACTTCAAAGTGTTGCCAACGCCCATGAGGAGGGATTGTATGGAACTTGTCTGGGCCGTAGTCGCGCTAAAGAGCTCATATTAGGCTTGCCGTACGAGGTTTCGAAGTGAATGAAGAATCAGTCCCGACCTTGATAATTGAAGCCACGAAATCGACCACCTCATCCAGCTTATCTTCATGAACTTCAAAGTGGCTCAAGTTCCCAGCTTTGGCGACATCCCCAACGATCTTCGCGCGCTCCCGGATGGCGCGCAGGGAGAGAAGGTACTTGACTTCGGAATCCATTGTGATCAATCTGAATAAGTTAAATGTGAGAATTAGTATGAAAGTGTTGAGAGACCCTTCTTGAGCGATGTATGCACGACGACAAAGGACAAGCAGGGCGACTCCGCACTTATCTAATAGGAGTCGCGGGGAGCTCCGACGATGTCACTGAGGAGGCGGTGGGCACCTGCGACGGCGCCCGGAGCGCCTTATCGGCCTGACAAACACTGAGACACTAACACCGCATCGGGCGCCGGCGGGTACTGGCGGCCCTCGCTTCGCATTCGGGCACTAATGCCTGTTGCTTGACTGCCAAGTGATGTCTGATGTTGTAAAGTAAGACATTCAAGTATT